CGCCGCCTGCAGGCGGCGGCCTTAGGGGCCGGCGGCGAAGGAGTGCCGCTGGGACCGCCTGGAAGGGCAGGGCGCCGGCGGGCCGCGGCGGCAGGGGCGGGGAGAGGCCTTGTTCTGCGGAGAGTTAATGGCTCCCGCCAGCGGGAATGGAGAGGGGGCTCCTGAGGGCTGCTGGGTTTATTTAAGGCACACGTAAGAGTACAAAAGCTGTTTCAAAATTGGCCAGCAACGGGGAGTTCTGCGTACTGAGGCTCACGGTCAGCCCCCGTACAGCTGTGTTGGCGTGAGCTACCTGTGATCTTAAGCGCTGGGGTTTTGGTCGTGAAATCATTATCCCTGACAACTGCAAATATTTAATTTATTTTTTTTTTAAAGAAAGTTAGAAAAAATAATGTACTAGCAGCGTGAATCATGTCGTAAAAGTGTATCCTTTCTAGTATTAAACTGTGGGAGGTATTAAGGTTCCTTAAGATGGTTTTTAAACAGCAACTAGTCAAGAAAAATATTGCAGCGCTTCAAGGTTTACTAAGAGTACTGCCATATTTCAATGCGAGAAGATGCCGTTTAACTATATGCGTGAAATACTGTGCGTAACACGGCAGTTTGAAGATTTGGAAAACAGCTCATTTTGCATTAGAGCAAGGAAGGCTACTTCCATCCCATCCCCTTTTGACTAACAGAGGATAAGATCTAGCTATGCAGTAACAGCTGTAGCAGCGAGTACAAACCCTGCAGGACTGTTCCAATGTTCATCCCGCAACATGGACTCTCGGTAGGCTGTTGAGTGCAAAAGGCAAGTGGGGAGACACAAGAAAAACATTCATTATAAATATGTAACAATTTGATCAAAAAAGCCAATTTTTTTTAAACATCCTATTTCATTGGAGCAATTAAAAACAAAATTAAAGTGGGAAAGAATTTAAGCTTCAAGTGGCCCAGTTACTACATTAACTTTGAACAAAGAAAATCCAAATTCAAATCTGGAAGAGGGGTCTCCTGTACCCTCCGTATGTATTTTGGTGTAAAGAAAGAAGTGATTCTCTCCCATTTCTTTTGAAAAAGATCAGAAAGATTAATAAAGACAAATTCTAAACCACACTGAAGCAGTTCTAACAAGCACTATTTCAAGTTACGTAACAACCTGAATTTTAAAACTTCTTTTATATATTCCTCTCAAGAGTGCTTTTAAGAACATGTTCACATACCATCTCTCAAAATAGGATCTTTCTTCTTAACAAGGACGTTGCCATTCAGTGTGAACATGAAATAAAAATACAAATATAAAGCAATATCAAATATCCACTCATTTTTGCCCTTTTACAGTCTTTATTATGTGAGAGGAAATTGTCTCCTCTCCTTTCTGCATGCAGGAATTACTAGCGCAGCATATTGAGAACCTGGAGTTAGGAAAGTCAGTAACTGAGTCTCTATTATATGCCTTAGAAAACATTATGATTGCCTCCTCCATCATTGCCGAAGTTTTAGGCATATTTGGCTTTGCTGCAATCTCCAAGACTGCATTCACAAGTAACAGCTGTGTAAGCAGCACTAAAAAAGATACAACCATTTTAGTCTTCGCTTGCTGCAATTGACAATGCAGTTTTAATAATAAGAGCCTCCTGTAGACCAACTGACATCTCTCGCTTCCAAATATTTCAAGTCAGTGGCAGAACAACTCTAAGGTAATACACATTTTCTCTCTCTGATGTTCTCAAACTGAGAATTGGTTCTACACTCTCCTCTCAAAGTACATGATGTTGTTGATGTCGGTATGCTGTCTCCCTGCTTTCCACCATCACGCTCCACCAGAAGCAACAATTGCACTACTTATTAGTCATTGTATAGGTAATAGTTTTCACCCTTTATAAGATAAGCCAAGTAGCAAATACTTTTTCCTCAATGTAAAGCATTACAAAGAACACCATGGTCACAATCTCAAGGAGGCACGCAATCTACCCTCAGGTAGTTTACACTATGAACTCCAGAGAAGCAGAGCAAAATAAGAAGATACAACAGTAGTCCACCATCTAAAAAATGACATACAGCCACTATGAAGATTAAATAAAAAATAATAATTAAAAACCCCCAAACTAATGCAGAATTATCGCACCAATACAAGTACAGAAAACAAAGTGTTCAGCAAGAACACGGAGAGTAATAAAAAAAAAATAAAATTGGGAGAAAACGAAGAGCAACTTTGCACCAGAACATGACAAAGAGGTGGATATACAAAATACTTTCTATATCCTACATCTTAGGGAGAAGTGTGTTTCTCACTTTAAGCAAGATTTGTTGGATTTGTCACGTTAAGAATGGCTCACTGAAAGGCATCCCTTGTTCCCAGCCATGCATAGTCCTTCCTTTCCACTATTCAGTGTTAAAAGCTGTCCAGTGCCAATACAAAAGCCTCCCAGCAAGCCCCCATTGTCCTTCCTCAAGCAGTTGGAAGTCTGACCTATATAGCATCTGACCCTAAATAACATTTCCAGACATTCCCAGTCACTTCCAAACAGACCGACTAGTTAATGAGTAGTACCCTAAGAATATAATTTACAAATGGAACTAAATGCCCTTTAGAAGATGAGAGGAAAAAAGTAAAAAACACTGGAATGCTTTGTGTTTCCTTCTAGTAATCTAACCATTGCGTAATACAAAAGAAAACTCAAAGAAACAAGCAATTCCTGTGCTTGGAAGCCAATGATTAAGACACAAAACAGCAGCAACTTCCTTTGAGCATGGTCAGAAAAACCTCCAAGTTTTACCACACAATTCATGCTTCCCAGGCATACATTCACCACACATATAGAATCTAGGTATTGCCATATTAAGGAATTTAATTGCCCATCTTAGTATTCAGCAAGGGACTGTGTAGTGCATCACATTTATAATATGCTGACAACAGTAGCTCTTTATCCCTAGAGCCTTCAGACAACTGTCCATCCAGCTTATGTCCTGAAATGTGGTATTACAATATGGTGCAATATAATTCTACTATGCTATATAAGTTTTTCCTCAATACACAACAAAATTTATAGTTTTAAGTTATTCCTGTCCCCAGTGATGCCCTACACAGAATTTCAGCCTTTTAAAGTCTAGCCACCTGAACAACAGTGTGGCTCAGACTTCATACTTCCTCCCCACCTTTTTTTAAATAAAAAAAGATACAGCACAAAATTTCAAAATACCATATAGGCCAGTTGTTTCTGAACTGAACTCAGAGAAAATTGTTCTTTCATGATGCATTCATTATAGGTACATAAGCTATTACCATATTAAGAAAGAAAAATTCACAAAATGAGAAACTGTGTTCCTTTCCTTTATTATGAAGTACCAATACCTTGCATACAACATGCAATTTATTGCTTATTGACATTATTGCGTATATCAAAGGGAAAAAAAAAATCAGCCAATATCATTTTATGCAAGCTCCTATTCAAACAAAATATAGAAATGCTTTACAATATCACTGAAATGCAAACAAAAATTCAGAATTTTTTTTTATTATAAGAAGTAAACTTAAACCCATAATACTTAATCAGTTGCCTTACTACGACTGAGTACTTTTGTCATTGATCTGCAGAATTGTTATATTGCATTTTAAAGTTCTTGTGCCATGATAAGGATTACTACTACAATCAGGCCACATTACTATTTGAATTTAATAATGCAATCCTGACATTTTGTGACAGTATTAGTATTTACTGCAAACCAGATTGTCAAGATTTACCAGAAATCAGTCTAGCAGAATTTACAGTTTTCATCCTTGCTCTGCACCTAAGTTAGATATATTTACCAAGTTTCTTCTTAGACAGAAGATTATATAAACATTGTTGAGTTACAGGCTCCATTACTTATGCCTAACTTGTAACTCATTTGTTCCCAACAGTTTTTGTAATTTGGTTTTATAACAGGCTAGCTGTGCTTATGTGTTAAATTATTCTACATATATGGGTATCTGTCGATATTAAAGAAAACACTGTTTGGTATATGCACGCTAGAAACAAATCCAGGATATTTGGATGTGTGCATATTAAGTGTGAAAATTATATAGCTGAGCTCATGATTAGCCCTTTTCCTCCTTTTCCCCTATCATATGATGGATTTCTCTTGTGAAACTGGAATAGGGTTACGATAAACAAAACCAATATATCCCACATTGCATTCAAAATGTTATGTTCTGTATTACAGCTTAGTATTAGTATTTAAATGTTGGTTTCAAACCTAGAAAATTTTTTAAAATACTGAAATTTAAAAACTTAGAAGACAATTTACATGCAACATATTCCACTTGGGTGCAGATTCTTATATACTTAAATATTTATAGGCTCATAAAAGCATGTCCTGTCCACAAGACAAGTACAATGTTTGACATCCCACGCATAGCTTAAAAATAAAGATACACTACAGAATATTTTATTTGCTTTTGTATTTTCAATTTCAGTGAGTAGGAAGTTATAAATAGCACACTGAATCATTATAGGGTTGATACCAAGCCATGCTGAACTCTTTGTAATTCACTCTCTTAAAGACATTTCCTTTACATTACAACTAGATTAAAAATTTATATACATTATTATAATCAGATGGCCTCTCAGTGCAGGACATCACACAATGAAACTGATCTCAGAAGAAATTTTGCCAAAATATTTCTTATACCAAACAATACAATTTATTCTTCATAGCTACCTTCCATTCTTTACTGACCTATAAAGTGCTTGGTTATTACAAATAGAGGAAGAATGTCAAAGGAGGTAGCTAGTAGAGATTTGTAATGGATAAGAAACCTTACCAAGTGTTACCACCTAAAAGTATGATTTGATGCTTAATCCCAGATCTCCAAACATCCCAAGCAGCACATCTTTCATCTTCTCTACCATAAAAAGAACTTTCAAGTTGCTTTCAGAAAATCCTAAAACCTTCACCTGTCCAACAAAGAGATTTTTACCTGGGTTTCGATGAATGTTTAAAGTTCATAAATATTGATCACTATTTCCATTTGACTGCTGTGAGGATCTCAGCAATGAAGCACTGTTCTTTTTCCAGCTGTCAAATATATTCCATAGACAGAGAAACTCCACAAGGAACAAATCCCTCCTCATGAAGTTCCTTGTAGCCAGATCATGATTTTGTACAGCAGGGTATTAAAAATTTGAAAGAGGGCTGCCCATACTTTTCAAAGCCTTCTACACGTGCATTTTTTCATCTGAAAATTCTAATTCCTTTCTATTTGCTTTATTGATGGCTTTCAGCAGTAGTCAACACTGCACCAGATCCTAAGCTGGAGTAATTGTCAAGCAGCCCTTTATTTCCTCTGAATGGCTCAGCAGAAGCAACACGAAACAATTTTACAAACTTTTCTATTATGTGATCTTTTATGGAAAGCTTGTATGTACATACACTTAAACACACACAAGTCCATGAGAAAAAGTCCTCTTCAGACAGCAATCAACAACTGATAAACTATTTTATACAGCTTGAAAATTATAAAGTTTCATTTTCCACTTTGAACAGAGATATAGAAATACCTAAACCTCTCTGCTACGTATCAGTCTGCTGTTGTCCCAACCACAGCAGTAGGAAGACATCTGGATCTCTATACTTGTGCTCTCAAAGTCTCCACCTCTCCTCTTTAAACCTGCTTGAACACATTTGCTCACTTGTGTAAGCTTTTACTCTTAGGTTAACATTAGTTCTGCAGCATGAGTAATCTTCTCCCATAAATCTCTAAGAACAGATGGAGGCAATTCTCTTCCAGACTCTGTAATTAACTTAATTTTTAGTAAATTTTAATACAAAATTTGGATTTTTTAAGAATTTATATATGTCAGCTCCCCTCATTTTCCTGTGCATAGGGTATTTTTCATTATTCAATAAATTCTATTTTTTAAGCAATTAAGTTATTAAATTATTGAGCTCACTCAAGGTAGCATGTATTTAAAGAGGTAGAGTAGGCTTCAAGAGATGTAATTCTTACCACTGCAGAATGCGCACAGATAACCCATAAAGCATCTCTGTAGTGTAAGGCAGGCGCTCGACTTCATGGAACACTCACCGAGAAAATGAATATTTGAAGTACATTTCCTCTCTGCAAGTACTGTATCCACAAATCAATTATAAAAGCAAAACTTGACCTACCATTCCGCTGTAGTAGTTCTGAAAGTGGTATTTACTCATCTTTTGGTGAAAAAGTAAAGCCATAAAAAAGGGAAACTTGCATTCCTACATGCAGCCTTACCAGTACAAACAGCCTCTCCCTCATCATGCTAATTTTATGTCACCTGGTACTGAAGAATGTAAAAGAAGAGAAAACAAGATATCTGAGCAATTTTTTACAAGATTAACTCCTGCCATTTGATATGTCCATGGCAAAGACACCTGGTGACATACCAAGGGTCTGCTTTTACACTAGACAATGCATCTGTTAAAAACCAATGCTACTTATCATGCATTTACTTTTTTGCATAAAAAAGCAAAGACACAAGCTTGCAACATTACATTTCATCAATATTTCACCACTGTTTCAAAATTAATAAAGTGCAATTGAAAAATGGGTGCTGCAGCTATCTAATCTGCTGTATTATAAGCTTTAAATGGCAGGTAAAAAGTGTCCTATACTAATGCATTCAGTACATCACAACTTTGCAGCCTGTTTACTACAGTCCTTGCCAAATACACAAGTATTAACATTTTTTTTTTCCATTAGAAAGTTGTTTTCTGACACATAGTAGATGCATCAGGACATAACTGCAATACAATTAAAAAAAACAAATTAGAAAATTTAAAAACTAATGCATTGCAAAATATTGTTTTAATTACACTACTTTTGTCCAGCAATCCAAAATATTACATGTTTTAAAATAATTATCCCACCGCCCTTCCATTCTGGATTGCTGCCCAAAGTGTATTATGCAGGGGTTTGTTTTGGGTTTTTTGTTTTCAATCTAGTTTTAACACAATTTTATTACAGTTTGACCTACTTTTTTTTTTTCCTATCAGACACAAGTCTATCTAGAAGGAAATGGACCATTTTAATTAATGTTCTCCATTGAAAAAAAAAATTTAAAATAATAAAACATTAAAAATTAAAGCTAAGGAATGAATTTCAAAACGTTTTCATGAGTTATCACCTTAAGAGTTGCTCCAAATCATCTTCCTTAGCAATTTTTTTCATCTACTTCCCAAATAACAAAAGCAGACTTCTACTTCAAACATATTCTCCAAAATGTTTGAATTTACTCAATTTGATTTATTTTAGAAAGGAACAAGCTATTACAAAATGATTCCTTGATCTAGTGACTTAAAATGCACAAGAAAAAAAGTATTTCACGTACACCTTTAAATCATAAAGGTGATAGAAACATAGAGCCTTTGTACGTAGTCTAGATTTTGCATTAGATACACTGAAATCACTATTTTAAAAGATACCAGGTTCTGCAAATTAGTATAAAAGAGAGTCTGTTTCTTTCAGCCAAGCAGGTCACAGGATCAACTCTCAAAGACTATGGATTTACTGGTACCCAAATAAGGCATCACGCTCACTCAAATCATACAGCTAAACAGATTAATTGCTAACTTTCCCAAGGCATAAACAGCTCTTTTGTCTGTAAGCTTGTGAAGTATTAATAAGCACAGAATCCAAAAAACATGAGCATTGACAATCCTTGGTATCTCCTTTAAAAAGACAGGATTGGGAAACGGTTTTGGAAAAAAGCCTGCCCAGTTAAAAAGTGGAACTAGGCTTGTAAAAGTGCGTGTGACGCTAGCCCAAACAATACTCCCGGGCATCATTTTAACTGGGGAACTAAACTCATGGCAGCCGCCTTGGTTATAAGGCATTTGAGCCTATGCAGTCCTCTTGGGGTCTAACAGATGTCCAACTCCTGGAAGACAGAAGTGCTGTGTCCCTCACCCAAGAGTGCAGTATTGGGGCACTCACACCTCCAACTACAGAGGGGAGAGTTCATGTCACCCAGCTGTATTAGATGGAACGGGACAAGAGGAAAACTAATTATCCTACACGGGGTAAGTATTTTATCTTTTTGTTTAAAAATAAATTGCTTAAACAGTCTGCTACAATAATTGGGATGTGCACTAAAGTACTGACTGAAAATACATACTTTTAGCACACCTTACCAGAAGGTATAACAAATAACATGTCAAAAAAAAAAACCAACCAAAACCAACCCCCCCCCCAAAAAAACCCCACCCCACCAAAAAAAACCAACCAACCAACAAAACCCACACCAAGGAAAAAAACCAGAAGTTAATCAGTCCCAATTCAGATATGGTTTAAAGTAAGCAAAACAAAACCAAACTACACACAAATACAGCTCTCAAAATCATTTAAAAATAAAACAAACCCCAGAATTTCTTCAAATTGTATTATAAATTACATTCTAGGCTATTCCTAGATGGTAAGATTCATCTCTGATGACCTCCAAACCTTTAAGTTTGCAGAAGAAGGAACAGGGTACCTATTGACAAATACATGGTTTAAAAAAAATAAAATGTTGTGCCTACAGAAGCAAACTGTCATTCTACAGAATTACTGTACAGCTTTACAGAAGTTTGGCACAGTTAATTCAAGAATGTTTTTAGTCAACACCTAGGATTTCTGATGTGATTAACTAGGAAAATGTGACAAAAAACCTCAACACTTCATATCAAATGGGTCATTTCTGTGATAAAAGAAAAAAAAGTATTACTGTAAGTTACACAACACATATACAGAAGAATTTTATCTCTTTACAATTAAACTTCGCATCCAAATAGCCAATGGTTAAAAATACTCTGAGGAGAGTTGCAGCACTTCTCAAAGGTAGTAGCAGCAAAGGAAAAAGCACTCCAGTAAGAATTATGCTGTTTCCACACATCATTTACCATACTAGTTTATAAAAAAAATTCCACGGGCAATTTAGAAGATGTACTATTGCATGTAATCTAACACAGCAAAAGTCAATCCTTCCCATTAAAATCAGAGAATTTTAACAATTTTTAAGATATTCTGTAGTCTTATAATACAGCATTTTAGATAAAATTATTTCATAAATTTCCCAAAATGGTTTGCATTCATATAAGGCAGAACAAAAAACAGTAAAAGACTTCACAGAATCAAAGCTAAATTTTTAGCCTTTCTTGCAAAAATTAAAAAGTTGTCAAGAAGGAAATCTTGATTGTTATTCCTAGAAGAAAACATAGAAACGTGCCAGGAAAATTGCACCATATCGGGAGTTTGGGGATTTTTTTGTTTTGTTTTCTAAAAAAAGAGAGATGTCAGTATTCACTGGATTTATAAAACACATTAATCTGAGAAACCTGAGTGAAACACTTCGAACACACTGGTGGACAACAAGCAAGTAACCAGTCTGCTCCATTCTAAATTCAGTAGCTTGTAACTGCTTAGAACAGACACGTGGAACTCATTTGTGTGAGCGTTTGCTTTTATTCCTCACCAGACAGGATCCGAAAAGCGTGGCCCTGGGTGTGCAGGCAGTGTGGCTAGGGAAAGAGTAAGGTCAGTACAGAGGTAATACCTTGTTTCCTTAAGAGGAGCATTCCATGGCAGAAATGTACACTGTTTCAGTGAACCAAAATTATTTTCATAGCAGAAATTTCATTTTATGTATATGATTTCTAGTCAGATTTTCCATTTCTATGAGTTTTGGCTTCCTCCTGTCCGATAAGACAAATTACTTTGTAGCATCCTTTTGCAATTTTGACCATCCACATCACATTCATCACATCCAAGACAACACTTGAGATCATCCAGGCGCTCTGGGCTGCAAATCCTAATCTCTGGAAAGCCTCTGTTCCAAATGAAGAAATTACATGGCTGTAATATATAGGCATGACGGCAATCCTCACCACGAAGAACACAACTGTCATCAGCACACCATTGATGATGTTGGCCTTTGAAGATTTGGGATATCCCAGTACTTCAAAAAACCACCTGCAAAAGAAGTGTTCACAGATACCAGGCAGACTTGAAGGATTTTATTTTTTTTTTTTTAATCATTTAATTTATTATTTGCTTCTATCCTTATAATTTCTAAATTATTGCAGTGTGTCTTGGCTTAGTTGCAAATTTTTCTGCTTGGCTACATTTTTTTCCCCACTTAAGCAGTGCGTGATATCCAGTACATTGCAGAATAGCATGTAGAAAATCCTCATTTGAATTGTAAGCCAGCTGACAACCAGTGTGCATTTCAGTGACTACAGTATAATACACTATAATTCAAATTCTCTTTTAAAATTATAAATACATACTTATTACTTGTTACTATAGTTTACACCAGTGGGCAACTAAAATTCTATTTCCTTCCCTGAAAGCAGTTCTAGCATTGTATTTGGATATGGTAATATAGATAGAGCTCTAGTTTCCAGTTTCTCAGGTTTGGATTTTTCTGACTGCTTCTGTTCAGCCTGAAACCAGAACTTCAGAACAAGACACTGTAAATGGCACTGGATCATGTCACAGCCAGGTATGTTATGCAATGAAAAAGACAAATCTAATAACCCCCTCTCCCACTACTACTACTGGGTTGTAAGTGGTCTTGGAAAAAAAAAAAATTCTTGCATATTAATTCCTTAGTAGATAGGCATAACTTATCTATTGCCTAGCACACAGAACCTGTGAGTTGAATTCCTAGAAAAAGGAACAACAAACTCCTCTAATTCTTTATCATTCACACTTAAGCCAGAATAAACACAAGGAGAAATTGTGCAACAATGGCAGGATAAAGACAGGACCACAGGAAAATTATTTAAATCACTGTATTCATGATGGGGGTTGGGGAGGGGAAGTGGAATAATCAGTTTATTTCCAAGAATATATAAGGGTAAAACTATTTAACAAAATAACAGTTGTAAAACTGGTTTTAAAATTAATTTTTAATTTAATTACCTACAGATTACAACCTAGGTAATTATAGATATACTAAAAAGATTTGCCAGACATCCAGCTCTACCAGAAACACTGCAGGAATTCATTAAGTGTGCAACTGAGACAATTAAAATCCAGGCCCTTGAGGTGGCAGTCCAGCCTAGAAGCATGATACTTCACCACAGAAACACTTTACTGGGATGATGAAGAGAGAGACCTGATATATTTGGTCAGACTAAGAATCAGAGCCTGTACTTTTGTTGATGTATACAATGCAGATTCCAAAAGTAATATAAAAAAAGGTTTTACAATAAACTGTGATGTGCCAGTATAGGTAACTGGACATCTGCTTAGCAACCTCCCTCTCCCAGCAAATTCAAAAAAATGAAAGTCAGTAAATGACAGTTATGATTACAATTTTACCCACCACAGTTCATAATTAATTACATAAATGCTGATACTAACATTAAAAGATCTAAATGCTTGGCATGGAGACAACTTCCAATTAGATATCCCTAACAACACACACAGGAAATACACAGACCACTTCTGAGATTAGAATATCTTTTTATATATTAATAATAGCTCTTCTGGTAATACTAAGAATGCAAACAAGAAACATAATGTAAGTAGTTCTCATTATCCACTACTTACTGTTGTAAGGGTCTGGTTCTCTTCAAATTTAATGAAAAAAAACCAAACCAAACCAAAAAAAAAAAACCAGCCCACATTCATACACTAATGAGATGTCATCCCTTAGTGCAAGAGACTATCTCCTACAGTGATTTCTGTTTTTCTGAGAAAGCAGTAAATGTCAGTATTCAAAGACATATGATCTCACCATAGGCGTTTTAAAAGTTTAATATATATTCCTTTTAATAGCCACATGTATCACAATACTTCCTAACACCACAGTCCGAAAGGTAAGCATCAGTATAGGTACCACTTAAACCCAGGATGAAATCCTATCTTGGTAGAAGTCAGTTGGGAGAACAGCCATTCACTAGGACATGAATTTCAATATAGAAACCTAGAATATAATACCACTTTTTTTCATTTTCTTACTCTCCTCTTGTATTACTAAAGTAAGTTTAAAGAAGTGTTTATTTACTCCTCAGTTTCTCTGTGCACACGGAGCACAGACTATGTTAGACTATAATCTCCTACTCAACATCAATTGTGCAAATGAAAGCAACCTCTGGAGAGCTTCATTATCACACCCTGCCCTCCTCTAAGTTGAATTTACCAAGCTAATGTTCGAAAGGGATCTCAGCACAATCTTTTTTATTTAGAGATCTGAAGAATGCTACAGTCTCATAAAATATTTCAGATTTTACAGTCACAATGCAGTAATGGGTAATACTCGGATACCCTGTTTGCAGGAGGATTACAGTTCCTATTTGCCTTACAAACCTTATCCTTTCTCTACTAGACATCTGGAAAAGAAAACAGATGCCACACGTGTAGGATCAGTAAAGTAGAAATACACCCCAAAAAGTATGGGTGAGGAACAGGTATCTGACAAACTGAAAGATCTGGTCCTACATTGCAAAAAAAATGGAGGAAGAGGAGAGGACTGCAGCACTGCCCTATACCAAAGCCCCTCTCCTGAGGTGAAGTCTTCCTGGGGCAAATCCCTGTCCCCAGCTGGGTCACGGTGGCTACACAGCAAGGAGAGAAGCCACCCTCCCCAGAGCACTGGGAAACTCCATGGACTGCTTTCCCTCCCTCTGGTACATGGCATTACCATGCTCCTTTTCTGATACTCACAGCAGCAATTCTAGTAGCAACACTATAACCAGAAGCCGTGGCAGGCTTCAACTCTCACTAAACTCTGCAAAAGAGCCTTCTGCCACTTTCTTCTCTGATTACAAGTATGAAGATTAACCATTCCAGACATATTTAGGTGTATTACTTTTTTTCTAATTTAAGTGCTCAAAATAATTTCCAGAACTATTTTTGAAAGTAAATAAATATTTGTATTAGTCTGTGTATTCATATGCATATATTAATATTAATCTGTATATGTGCAGTATTGCAAAATAAACTTCAAATTATCTAGGGCAATGCAATTCCATTCTAGGATTCTGATGACAATGTTATCTTGCTTCATTTCCTGGTCCATGATGCTAAAAAGAAATCCCTATTGAAAATGATGGCTTTATTATAATAATTAAATGAACATACAAAGGCTAATTAACAATATTAACTTTGTGAACTTTTTTGTTCAGCAGTTTCATAAAAATTTGGCATTTCATATGAAGGCTGGTCTACTCGAAAAAGGAGCGCAAGGGTGAATACATTAGTTATACTGTTGCAGTTATAGCAGCAAAAAGTTTTCATAGCAAAAAAGGTGTCCACATAGTAATCCTTAGTTCAATATATATAAATTCCCTTTCAGCAGACATTCAACAACAACAAAAAAAGCTTCCTCAGTGACAGGAATAATAATACAGATTAAAATTTAAAACAACTATGAAAAAATTCCCTAACCACTTACCGCTGATTGACAAAAGGAGTGGAGAACTCTGCAAGCAGACGGAAGTTTCCAAAATAAGCCAACAGACCTTTGCTCTGGTTAGTAAAACAAAATAGACATACGAAAATCAACAATGTAGATGTGAAATCTGGATTAAAGTCTTCAAGTATACAGAGAATGACACAACATCTCAACTTCTTTATTAAAACTGATAGTAAGCAAGTTTACCAGCTGTGGTCAACTTCCTTACAATTCAAAATCAAGTTTACTACAAAAGCTGCAATTGTCCTTCAGGTATCTCAAATTAGTAGTTTCTTACTTTAAATAAATCTTTAAAAAGACTTACAGTTCAGTGGCCACAGAAAGCTAGCTAGAAAAGACTGGCACAAGTAGTCATAAGTTATAATTATAATGCTACTGTTACTGTCTAAGAGAATTATAAGTATTTTGGACTTCTCAATGCTTAAACAAGCCCAAACAGAAACACTGTAAGCTAAAGAAAAACATCCCTGCATTGTTTTAGGAAGATAATTTGCCAAAGTGAAGATGAATTCCCAGCTCTTATTTGGCAGCAGAAAGGGTACATAAAGCCCTTTCTTCTCTCCTCCCCACTGCAGGGGAAGTTTCACCAGCTCTGTGACAGTCCCTGCTTTGCCCTGTGGGTTGGAAGAACAGCACATCTTCTCCATGCCAGTATCCAGATAACTGCATGGTATATTTCCACTGATAAGACATTGTAACTGAGCACTTTTCTCCAAGTGACAAAGTACAGCATATTCTCTGCCTTATCGTTTGGTTGTGCTGGAAACAGTATCCCATTACACAATGGCTGGGTAAGCAGCAGTTTGCAGATGTAGAGATAAAAAGATATTTTTTAAAATTTCAGTAGGTCTCCTGGACAACCTATGCAGTGTGTCATGATTCCTCTTTCCCCCACCAAGCATACTAATGCCCACTACTTCAGGCATTTTATGTCAGTTTGCGCTACACCAAAGAGGAAAATCAGCATTCTTAATCAAATTCTCTCCTATCTTCCAGAGCAATTTTTGCCATAAGATACTTATCAGTAACTTTCTCTGAAGATAAGAGAATGAGAGTAACACAGAGACATCCAAGGGCAGAGCTATACCCAAATAATAAGAACTGCTTTAAAAGAAATTCACACTAAGACTACGCTTTCTATTTACTCAAGAAACAAGTAATGAATTTTCTGCATCAGGGATTAGCCTTGGTAGTGGTATTTTCATTTCTCTAATATTCAGCTCTTACACACTTTCATCCATGATAATATTAGTAGATCTAATTATCGTCAACCCAAAACAGAGTATTTACTTGTCAGGATACTTCATCCTCTTTAAACCATTACATGGGAAATATGACAGTAATCTGGCATCTTGACATTTTTAGAATTGTAAGCCTGGGATTCACACAGTAGGCAGAGAAAGAAATGTGGTAAATGAAGTAAATTGTATTTTATAAGATTTCTTTATTTACTGAATGAGCTTTTCGGAAGAAATTCAGGAGCGTTATTCTGGAGGTCAATAGGATTTCTACAAAGTCACATAGGCGTCTTTGAGAAATCCCAGCAGCAGCAAAGAGTAACTAGGTTAGTCTTTATCCTAGAACAGTATCCTTCTCTTCCCCTTTTCCCTTCAATGTATGTACGCCACAGATATTTATAGATATATACAGTTAATCATCCACTGTTTCCCCACCGAAGTAACCTTAAACAAGAAGTCTCAGAGGATCAGTTTGTGTCATAACAGATTTTAAAAAAATAAATAAAAATTGAAAAAGAAGAAAAACACACCCCAAAAAACCACACCCAGCTGATAGTAGTACAGTCACCAGGGTTAGGGATCACTGACCTCATGGCCTTGCAAATACAATCACAAAGTAGAACATAACCACTTGAAAACATTTCCTTTTAATTTTCCAACTAAATATTCAGACTTGTGGTTTTGTTTGAAACCTCTTTCTACAACCATGTGAAAAGCCCCTCTGTCAAAGCCTCCCTACAGCAAAAACTGAGAAGAGTTTTAATTTCAGCAGTTACACATTTTTGTTGAAGGACTGTAACATTGAAAAGGCATGTACTTACCACAAATGACTGATAAAACCATTTAGAAAGTAATGATGATTGAAAATATAAATATGCCTTTCACAAAGCTAATATACCAACCAGTGAAGAATTTTTTTTAAACATTAAGCAAATGAGATCTATAAAAGCATTGTCTTCAATCTCATCTGCTTGTTATGTTACTGAAAAATACAGCACTCACCAGTACAAAATAGTAAGCATACAGAGCTGCCAAGTGATGTATTACAAAAAATTTGTCACCAATTGCCTTCCAGTAGTAAATAATAAGCAACAAATCTACAAGAGAAAAGAAATAATGATAAAGAACAACTTATTATACTACCATTGACCTCAGAATAGTGTTTCTCTAAGTTTTAGAGGTATAAATGCCAACATATGGCATCAGTAGAAACCCTCTGAATTCATTATCCCTGAAGAGACTATCTTTATCCTAAAGACTTTATTTTAGTCAAAGCATATAAGCAACAGTATTCTTCCAACAGTTGCCACAAATTATTGCCTCTACTTCCATTGATGTGTAAAGTAATAGTTTTAGCTGAAATATTTTGGAAAGAAAAAGTGGATCCCAAATCTTAGAGCAAGACTTCACACTTATGAACCCAAAAATTTGAACAAGTGACAAAAAAAAAAGGAGGGAGCAGCTACAGGGGACATAGCCACTATACAAATACACGCAATAAATGCGGAGATCTATTACGGGGAACTTCTGAATCAAAAAGTAGCTATATTAGCAAACAGGGAATCATTTACCAAGAATATTTTGCAAGGGGCACGTGGAATGAGAAGCATGTTTGCTTTATTTAATCAGAATTTTCTAGTTACTGCAGAAGCGATACAGTGGACCTGAGTTAGTGTTACAAGGAAAGCTTTGACAGAAAAGTTCTTTCTGCTCCCATGATGGTCTGAGATTCCAGAAGATTTTCTTTTCTGTACTGGAACAAGCGATTTCTGCCCCTACTTTCTCCAAATGAGTACTTTGGACTGGAATATTAGTGACCAAGGTTCCAAATCAAAGACTTTACCCCTGTGCTTTCTGTATCTCCAGTGAGTGCCTTGATCTCTTTTATATTAGCTATCCTCAGGCAGGACTCTGTATCATCTGACATAGCTGTTCCACTTCCTATTAATAATTAAACATTAACTATAGAAGGAAGTGAGAGAGAATGAGTGGCCAGGTTCAGGTCTCTGTTCAAAGGCATTCATTAATTCGTAAAGAAAGACTAATGCATGATTATTCAAAAATAGATACCAATGAATTTAAACATGAGAGCTGAAGTTCTTATGGAAAAAAACAGAGACTTAAACTAACCCACAGTTTAACTGAGTGTGCTGATCACCAGATCATCAGTTCCACTGGGGTAAGAAATGTAGTCTGAGAGAGATGATCAAGTCCACAGCCCCGTCTCTGACCAGAGACTCCAGCCTAACATGAGAAGTTTTCCCTGAAAATAGTCCAAGTCACAACAAGTTTTTGCTTTGATAAATCAGTATTATCCCCACACCCCATAAAAGAAAGCTCCAAAGCATTTTGTAGCAAAATTCCCATACCAATTTTAGTTGACAGTAAATAATTAAGAACACAAATCATATGTAGGGGTAAATGCCATACCAAGAAAATAATTTAAAATTTCCATGTTTTATACCCGACTGAATTTTGGCTTAAAGTGAGACTAAAAGGTGGGCAGACAAGATCCTATGGCATCACTTGCCTCAGCTTGTATTGAGGGTTACTAAAATTCTTCTGCCAGCATTCTGAGGTCACAGGAAGAAACAAACAATAAAAAAGCTACGAGTTGTAGACACCCTGAAGGGAATGAAGGGCACTGCTTTAACACCTTCTCAATTGGCTGAAGGACAAAACTGAGTTGGAGTTGGTGGTTGTGTATCAAACCATCATAAAGCCACACAGTGGCATTTTCTCAGTGCTTGGGGAGATATCATTCCATCTTTAACATCTGCTGGCAAGATCTTGTGATTTCACCACAACCCACAACTCCATTAGCAATTTTAAAAGCCACAGTAGAAACTGTATTGTATACACATATTACATCTCCAGCATAGTGGCTCAGTATAAATATATAGGCATAGTGACTCAATATAAATATACAGGTTGTGTGTGTTATATACACATTGCATAATTACCAGAAATGAGGTAGCCTGTAGTAATAGCAATATTCAGTTTCACAATTGAAGGGTCACCCCTGTAAACATACCAAAAATACATAGTTACAGCCCTTATAACAAGGTAATTTGCAAAGGACATACACATATCAAACACATAACATCCATCAGGTCACCTTATTCTTGGCCCATCAGTAAGCTGTTACGAGATTTGGTTAAGAAAGGTCCTAGTCATGAAAATGGATTCCTTCTCCACCCAGATATAAGACATCTACTAACTACCCTAATCAGAATTATCCCCTGCCTTGGCGTAGAGACTGCCCAAAGAGCCTTGCTACAGACCAGAACTGAAACCCAGCAAGTACCCTGAGCTGGCTTCTCTGGAAACAGAGGATAAGAGAGAACAGCCCAGTCAGTGTCTCAGCACTTTAACTGACACTCTGCATCTCCATTTTTGTTCTTCTGCCAGTGTTAAAACTTTGTTAAGGATGACAAAAGTATCTTGCTCAGCTGGTGCTTTTCATATTCATAAGAGGATGGATGCTTATAGGGATAAACAGAGTACAAGGAGACAGGAAAGGAATTATTTGCCAGTTCTTTGGAGTGAAGGAACGTTCGAGGAGGAATGCTTTTCAGAGTAGTTTCACACCTTCTGTCCCTTCCCTTTTGGTGCCAAACATTCAGCAGGCAAAGCTCTTAATAGCACACACACAATTTCAGTTCCTCTAGGATATTCAACAAACCCAAACTTGTGAATACAGCTCAAGAAAGGGAAGCATCCACATTACAGCAAGTAATATTTGTTCTTTCCTCCACTGTCCTCTGTGCATTCCTATTTTGAGGAGTTTGGTAAGCGTATCTCTTTTCCTTGCCATAAAGGCCATAACTTTCTTTTTCAACGAAGTTGTGCATCTAATCTGGATATGTTTTGTGTAAGTATGAAATGAGCTTCAAGTGACAGGTCTACAGATTTATAGAATGTGGACTGCTCAAGACAAGCTGTGAAAGCAATCTTTGTTGTAAACCTTTAGAGAAAAAAATTAATATAACTATGCTTACAGCCACCTCCAATACAAAGTCTACCTCAGCTAGAAAGCAGTAAAATGCTATTACTTAGCTGTTATTTTTTAATCCTATTGGAATGAAGCAGCGGAAGAGATTTCCTGTATTATTACAATCTGTTCGCTAAATTTTAAAGCTTTCTTAGCATCTAAAACTTACTGCTTCCCTGAGCAAGAGGTGGCTTACAGAAAAATAGAAGGACTCACAAAACCAGAATTCTGCCATTAGGTGAGGGAAAACATTTCCAGGAGAGCCTGGAGCTCACTCCATCTCTTAAGATTGGCCATAGAGGCTCTCTTAACTACAAGTGCAGACAGGAACATTTCTCCATGGCTTCAAAACCTGGTTTCATGAGCTACGTAGGTTGTGGGCTGAGTGCTTCTTTAGGTGTAGCTCTTCTGAAAGTCACAGCTAGACACAGAGCACAGACAGATGTGTTCTCACAACTTTAGCAGAAACTCTGTAAATAGTTACAGCCCTCCCATTAGAGCCCCCAGCTGTGGCAGCAGCAACATAATGAAACTTGTAAGTGCTCCCAACACACTTCAGCACATTACCAAGATTTAGCCTGTGCTCAAGAACCTTCATAGTCTTCTCCAGAGAAGATGCAAAGGACTGAGTATATGAAGTTGGTTCTTTGATATTCGTAAACATGACTTGACTGGATGAGACAGGGAATGATTCATTTCCCTTCATTCTTTCCATGAGAACGGTCACCTTGCAGCAAACCTTCCCTAGGCTTTCTAAAGCAACACTTGAACAACATATATGGCTGCACTACCAATCTGTCATGTCCCTTCAAGAAGAGTCCATGTTAGAATCCCAAATTAATCTCAATTAATGCAAAACTTCAAATTTAGTCTAAAATCTTCTGGATTTTCTGATCTATCTCCTTGAATAGGAAATGCAGTGGAGCTTATGAGCCCTGATGTTTGCAGCCTAGTTTTGATGCAAGCAAGAGCCAGGAGTGACAAACAGGGCGTGACTTGAATAAGCAAAAGGGAAGAGCTATTTCTTTTGTGATTGGTAAGGAGGTATGTGTGGCAAATGAATTACACATGAACATGGACAGGCAGATATAACAAACAAAAGTCCACATGACTGACTTTCTTCAAACCGTTTTGCAGATACAAAGTCATACAAAATGCTAATCAAATGCCAGACTTCAAAAAGTCTAATGACTGTAAAGTGGACAGTCATATGAAAAAGCCTGCTCTTCTGTGAAGCTAGAACTTAATTCACTTATTTATATCTTCTCCCTCTCCTTATCTGATCCCTACCACCTCCACATTTTCTACTGTGTTATTCTCACCACCTCAAGAACAATTTCTACATAATCTATGTTACTAAGTCTGTATTACATATCAAAAAAAAGGCAAAGTGTTATGAGAAATCCTAGACCATCAAAAAAGGTATACATACACAAGACTGATGCTTCCCTGTAACTTACCAATGCTCCAGTCTTTATTATCCTTTGTTAGGATCTATCGTATCTAGTTTCAGCCATTACCTGACAGTAATACCACATCCTCTCTCCACTGAACCCAAACCCTTAGTAGCAGGAGTCCTGATCCCTTTCAAGACATATGGGTATCATCACCACCATGCATTTAAGCTTTGCATGAACCCAAAAGTTAAGCTGACACATGTAGAGGCTCAGAACTTGTGATTTTCCATTATAGATATAAATATCTTTAAATCCCACAGAAAAGAACTGATTGGATACTGTCAGACAGTCAATGACTACACAAAGATGGTGGCAATAACTAGAGGGAAAGAGTGTCTGTATCAAAACCTTCCCAGTAGTCTAAAATCAGAGCATCTGTGTAATGTTTTCAGGCTACCTGGATTAGAACAGTGCAAGAAAGCTGTGTGAAGGATTCCTGAACATTTACATACAAACTACTGAAACTAGATTCACAAATGTTTCTTGTATTGTTAATAAGAGACTCCTACAGAAAGGCTTATGCATCCTTCATATCTGTAAATGACCAAGTCCCACAGCTTATGCGTACATTTCAAAAGGGCATTAGATTTCAAGACTGAGCAGCCTTGCCACAGTCCATCTGGCATTTCCCTTTTTTTTTTTTTTTCCCCTCTTCAGTCTTATTCAATTAAAAGCAAGACTATGTGGATTCAGCTATGAATCAACTTAAAAATGATCAGCAATTTAAGAGTTAACATACAGCTAAGCCATAAAACAGACTGGAAAAAGAAAATGGTTAAAGCTCTGCATGTTCAACTGAGGCTTTAATTATTGTGTACTGGGAACCAATATGACATATGGGGAATGCATAGACTAATGCCAGCCATCTCATTTTTTAAGAGTATTGTAAAAGTCAGCCTTAGAAGAAAAAGTATATCTGCAAATTCTGAGGAAACCACCCTATGATTCTGGCTTCGCTGGCAGAGGAAAGCCTAACATAAAGTTGTATTTTACTTACAGGATGCCTACAACTACTTGTAAAGCCATGGGCAATATTGTTTGGTCTTCCTTTGCACTTAATCATTTGCATGAACTTGAATTCAAATCATTGCATCTGTCTTAAATACACTAAGTGATACTTCACACATTTTAAAATTATTAGTTCAATAACTAAAAATACTGATTTCCACATCTCGCATGTGTTCTGTGCACTTTTAATTAACAAATTCCTGAAACCACTAAGATAATTTTGACTGAGAAACAATTTACAGAAATACTGCCATGAAATGAATCTGAAGCTTTGATTTAAAACACAAAGATTAGCTATACTTACACTAGATTTTTAAATATATATATAAAGCCTTCCAAATGTAAATAGAACCACTGATAGCAATCATTGTAAACATATCCAAACAGAAGAAATTAATTAGAAGCAACAGTAGAAATACAGAATAAAATTCCCCCAAAGGAAGAAGGATTTTGTCTTTTAAGATTTACTGTTTTTACATAATCTAGGATGCTAAGGCTCCATAAGCAAGATTAAGTTTTCAATGCAGTACACAAAAATATCTAACATAACTTTTCTGAAATTTGCTAAGAACAAAAAGTAGTTCGATTTCTGCTTAATTTGAATTTTTCCTGGAATTATACCAGGAAAATTTAGTAAATGTGAAGACTCAGTTTATTTATCATTACCAAGAGACTTTTATTTCTGCCATTCATGACTTCTTTTGTACTGTTTAGAACAAGGTCTACTCAAACAAACCAGGATAAAAGCTTCTATCTGATAAAGCTTACCACAACACACACTGAGAGAGTTATAATAACATGCTGCTTTTCAACATGGTTAACAGTATCATAAGATATTCAGACTGTATTTGGTCTCTCTAAAGATACCAGAATGCAATGAAAAAAAATCCAACAATTTAATCATGTATCACTACACACAGAAGAGGCCAATGTTGCCTAAATTTGTGTTATGGATTAGTGTTACATTTATTAAAGCCACATAAGTCAGTGGCTGCGCTTCAAGTACCCAATCCTGTCTAGTCCACACTGCATTGTCATTAATTTACAATATCAAAAGAGCAGAAGAAGCATCGGATGTTAAATTTATGTAAGTTTAAACTGACTCACAGTGTGGTCTTTTGACAAGTTTAAAAACAACAGGCTATGACAGAAATATGAAATTAAACTTAAAGTAGTTAGTTAGTCTTCAGGAAAAATATGGGCTCTTCCTTCTATAGGGAAAGAATTCCAGAGGGTGAGTGAAATGTCAAAACAACAATAGCAATCTATAATTGACTTGACTAAAATGAAGCCATCATGTTCCTCCTCCCTCAAAAAAGTGTGAAACAAAACAATGTAACTAGAAATCAAGAAAAGATAAGCTTAATATAGAATATTGTTAACCAGAAAAAATATTAGAAGTCCACTTGTTAAATCTTCCTATTGCTTGTTAAGACAGCACTTGAAACTTTCATACTTTTTTAAAAACAAAGATTGATAGAAGCTTTACGGGAGGCAAAAATATAAATATCTTAATTTATCAATTTAGACATACACATTTTATACATTTAATAGGCCCCTCCAGGTTTTTGCCACACACACACTGCGGACCTGCAACAGCATTTCAGTTTCACTTTAAAATTATTACAGTAAATAGCATAGTTTCAGTCATGCCAACTTACAGTTACACTCTTGGTTCTATACTTTAGTAATTTAATATGCTATCTCAAATCAATTGCTTGTATTTTATCTATTCCACTTCAGAGACACAATGCACTAAGACATTAATACTGACAAAATAATTTGGAATTATCAAATAGTACAGACATAAAAATGGACACATCACAACTGCATATTTTAATAGGGAATGAAACAATTATTTCAGTAATTAATACACTGCAGGATTTTTTTTTTCCTTCTCAATTATGTTATTTTATTGTGTAAACAAAACATACATGTAAAATGCCTTACCAGAGATGGTCAGCATTAACAGCGTCATCATACAACAAAATATATAGGCAAAACCCACCAACCACCAAGGCATGGAATGTGGACACTGTCCTGAAAAAGAGATCACAGTCACAAGGAGGTACTGCCATTCATAATTTTCTATACTGTGCTTAAGCTAGGATGTTTCCAAAGACATTCTCAACTGCATTGATACCTCTGTGGAAGCAATCATCTCTTCTTTACACTATATCCAACCACCTACACAATGACAGGTGAGAAAAACAGTCAAAAAAAAGGAATATACTAGACTGAAAGGGGGCAGGGGCGTGCACGGTCAAATAGAAAGTAGGGTCTTAAAGTAACCGAGATCTACGTTTTCCTCCGATTATCCCATATATTAATGAATCCTTAAAGACAATATGACATCCAGTTCTTTAACAAGTACTTACTGTATTGTCCCATTTGCTGGAAAATCTTGAATATGAAGATTTCTTATTCAGATTGGCCCATGAGTCCTGCAGCAGCAGGCTTCTCCTTTCAGGCACCAAATTAACAGATAACCCATAATAAATCTGCCAAGTTCAGGTTTTGGAAACAGGGGCATTAAATGAAAAATCCCATCAAGGAAAGTTTCAGAAACAATTTCTAGTGCATTTGAAGTAGATTCTGGTTTTCAAAAAGAAAACTTGTATAACAAAAGGTTGTAGCTGAATATCTGAGGTATAACAGCTACAGGTTCATATGAACTAGCAGCTTGCAGCTTTATTTTATACTCGTCTTGTCCTATATAAAGTCACAGTAATCAGAGTTGCCTTGTCCACACTTGGGTACTAAACACTTTTTTTCCCCAAAGACATCAGTCTCAAGTGTACAGGCTGCATGCACACTGTAGATAAACTCTGAATGTTAACAAGCACTTAAAGAGAATTACCTATTTACAGAGACCCCAGCAGGGTTTCTGCCAGCACGCATGCCAAGGCCATTCCTGCCCTTTTGAGTCCACATGTATTCTTGGAAGGTAGAACAATGCAATGGGCACGGGTCCAAAATGTGTAACCTTGTTCCTCTAGCCATGGGTTTAACACTACTATAAACTGCACCTAATACTGTGTAGCTAGTGTCTGCTTTCCTTCTTTTCAAGTGTGGCTAGGAAGAAAAAAAAGTTATGCTCCAAAATAGCTCTACTAAATCATGGATACTATTTGAAAGAGGAGAACTCGTAAGTTCAACGCTGTGTGATCAGAAACACCTCTGCAGCATATTCACAGCATTAACAATATGCACACAAATGTATATATGCTGTTAGTTATTAGTCTTGTCTTTGTACATATTGAATACATGCATTTGGAAGTTATTAATATTTTAAGTGTGCATAAGTCACTCCCAGGAGTCTAAACTCTACCATGTAAGAGTTGAAGAAAACACCTTACTTCCTGTGGAAGACTTTGCAAAGAAAGTGCAGGTTATAATCCCTAGTCTGTTCCCAGAAGTTATATTATCATCTATTGGCATTAGAAGATTCTGTAACTTTTCATAAAATAAGTCTATATTTACGATTTGTTTAAAGAGTATCATCATGCTATTTTCAGCAGCTTTTTCAACAGCATTCCAAAAAATGAATGGAGGTTAATATAATGTGAATAGTCAAATGTCACAAGCTGGATGACAACATTTACTAACCATTATAGCACAGGCTGCTTTTTTTTTTTTTGCTTTTTTTTTAACAAAAAAAAGAAAATTTAGTTATCAGAATGTTAATGATAATTAATAGTTTAGTTAAGATGTCTACTCTTGCAACACAAAATTAACAGAGAGCTAGGAACTTTGCTTCCTTTTTAAAACAAAGGATGGCATATAATATTAGTGTTTGAGAAATACCTGGAATTTTTGAACTTTAGGAGAAGATAATGCTGGAAGAAGTAAAATTTGTCCTAGAATATAGCTCATTAGTTTACAGTTGCAGTTTGTCTCAGGAGTGGCTGTTTATCCAAACCTTAATGTTTAGAATACAAGCTATGCACAAGCACAGCACTTGAAGGGGGAGGGGGAAAAAAAAAAAAAAAAAAGGCAGATTTTCTCCTTGACTCTGGACTTTGAAGTTTCTCCATAGAAGAGGGGACAGAAGAAGGGAAATAGTGCAACACTCCATTTTAATATGGAATCTGGGTCAAGCTGTCAAGCTCCGTACATTTGCTTGAAATTACTGTCAAAGCTTGCATCCTTTAACTCCTCATTAAACTGCAAAGAAAAAAGTTGCACGGATAAGTTGCATACTAGTTCCTTTATTATTGAAAATATATATATATTTTTTTTTTTGCAACTGCTTAATAGCAGTACAAACATATTATAGAAGAGATGACAGGAATTTATGCACAACTAATTAAAGAGTTATGCTACATCTGTGTCAAAGTATATTTTTTAAGTCAGTTTGGGAGTCTGCATACTTAAGATTCCAGAAGCAATTAGGTTTTTGGTTCTTACTTCTTGGAAGGTCAGCATGAACAAATTGACAGTATGGAAAACACAGTCCAGAGTTGCAGCAAAAATGCTTGATTACAAAACCCTCTGAACTGTAACAATGTATTTTCAATGCTACAGCTCATTTCAGGCAGATGCCCTCTTCCAGACCCAGCTGAGCTGATAAAAATGCACAACCATCCTCTGTGCCAGTTTCCTTCAGGACTGCCAACAGAACCATTTGTGTGAGCACTGCCTACACCAGTTTAATACAGGACAAAATAACAACCATCTACTTTTAAATCATTTAAGTCAACCCAACTCATTTTACTGGGAGACAGTAACCTTCTCCACCTGCACAGCTGTCTGCAGAGTACATGTAGGTCCATCTACATTCTCTGAACATATAAGATACTCCTTGGTGTGTCTCTTCATTTTGGTGAAACACCGGAGTGATGAGGCAGCTTGACAAAACATTGTGTTTGATCAGCAGTGTTAACAGTCAACCTTTTGTAGAAATGCAAGCACAGTTAGCCTTGCTTTCACTTCATGCCCTGTGTTTCATGCCTTCTAACTCTAGAACTGGATCTAGCACTGGACCACAACTCATCTGTGTGCTAACATCTACATCCTGCTAACAACCCCAAGAAAAAATGTAGAAAGAAGTAAAAAAGGACACAGCCTGGGGTGCTGTATCAACTTGAGTAGTTAAACACCTTACTACAAAGTAGCCCAGAGATTACAGAGTAGCTTATTTCCAGCACACTTGTGATGTGTGAAACAATTCATAAATTGTTATGCAAAGCACTACAATTTAGCATAGTGCTACCAGGCATGGCCTAAGTTCTCAGAAAGCCTATTATGCAGTTCAAGGGTCACTTGACATGGCTTAGAGACAAAAGTTTAGCTCCAGCATAATAACAGTTTAGTTTAGTTTCCCTGTCTGCCTCTATTGTCAACTGTAAAATAGAGATAAACCTAAGGTGCACTGATATCATGAACTGGCAGCCTACAAAGTTGTTCTGGCAGATAGGTAATTATTCAAAGATCAAACAGAAATTAAGATGGTGCCTTTAAGAACACTGCAGGTGAACATTTGCTAAATGGAAGGGCAAGACTATTTGAGTCGCTAATGCTGCCTAGAACAATGGAAACAACTTTAAAAGTATCCACCTGATTTTTTATATTGCCTTTAAACAGCACTGAGGAGGAACAGTGATACCACTAATACATTTTGAGTGCAGTGACAACCATACAGTAACATTTTTGAGCTTCAAATTTGAGAAACACCTGAAAAATATTTTGAAGTTGTAATAGCCTACTCAAGCATAAAGTTATACTGTATCAATTCACTTCAACCGGAGAAGCTTGTGTACTGTATATACCCTTTCAGAGTAGTACATTTCAAATAAAACATCAGTGATAATCCCATTTACAATTACTACCCTGTACTTCCTTTATGACTTAAAAGAGAGGAAAGTACCCAGGAAAGATTCACAGGGTTGAACAAGTTTCCAATAGCGCTCTGTCTGAGAAGACAAGTGTAATGCAGGTGGATCCATTCCCAGTGACAGTACTCCAGAAACACAAATGGAGTGAGGAAGGTTTTTAGCTTGAGTTTCCACAACTATTTCCTGAATGTGTACCCTGTGTCTGTCAGGACTTCCCCATCTTCTTGCAGTCTCCTTCCCCACCAACACACAGATGTACCTGTCTAACGCCGCCTTACTCCAATACTACACCAAAGATTTGCCTAATTTCTTGGAGAACCATAACTTATATAAAACAGGTTGCAGTGTAGTTGCACCAGAACAGAGAACAATTTGCTTTGCACCCAAAAGCATGACCATACACTAGCATTTAGATCATGGAATAAATTGCAATAGTTTCAATTTTCATGTATGTTTGCAGGAAGGGAATTTTGTACCTCTTCTCTTTACTAGAAGTGTCACAGAGAAGCCATTTAAAACTAATCCACTCAGCTTATTACCTCTCACCAGTCACTGTTTTTTTTACTGACTTTCACTTGGTCATCACTGTCTAACAAAGCATTTAATGTACAAGTGTTTGTAACGATGTGTGTTCAAGAAGGGGCTTCAGCATTTTACATTCAGAATTTGTCAAGTGCCTAGAAATGTCCCTCTAATCTTTACAGATGTTTAACTAATAACATTTTCTGCAGTTTTATATATACATACATAGGTGGCTCAGATGTTGACAATTTCAGGTAGGTCATTAGCTGTAGTTTGTTTTGAACACTCTACCTTGAATTCCATTCGATCTTCCTTTTTTGGCTGAGATTGTTAAAACCAGGTGTTATTCGTGTTGACACCCAAGAACTTAAAACATGGAACAGCAGCTGAAATACAGTAAAACTGGCAAGAGCAATGCCAATAGTCAGGTTGCTGAAGGAAGCCATTGTTCTTCAGCCTGTGAAGAGAAGCAGAAGGTAATTTCAGTCTATTCTCCATTTGACTATTTTAAGCAGCCACAGAAAGTGGGTTTTGACAGCTAACTTAACAACAGAAATATTATTCACTAAAAGTTTCATCCTGTTCAACATTTCTACTTAAGCCTTAATAGTATAAAAGTATCCCCAAACTTTTATATGTAAAAGTTGCATTTTGGTTTGGGGGTGGGGTTTTTTTTAAATATTTGCATACTATACATTCTCGTTGCCAAAAGTTGCATGTATTTTATCTACACAGAAAGGGCAGGGAGGACCACCGACCAGTGCAATCGCCTGTTCAGAAGCCTCCACTCCTGTCCCAAGAAGCTCCAAAGTTAAAACTCATCTCATTCTTACCAGATTGACTGCTGCCAACGGGATTTGAAAAAGCAACAATGAAATCAGATAAACACAGTAGAGAGATTTTCAGGTCAGACTCAGGAAGTAATAGCCTCAACACAGCTTCATGTTTGGATACTTTACAGAGACAGCAGTTCTCAATTTGCACTTTATTCACAGTTGAGGGCTTCTCTGTGATAGCGCGTAGGCTATCCTATTTGAGCTTTTCCGTCTTCACGTGAAACTCTAAACTTTGCACAATTTCAGAGCACACTGAAAAGCTTCCTATCATCAGAGCTAATGCACTTTTCAGATGTTAGCTATTTCATGAGGTCTAAATAAATAGCTAAACAATTCCAAACATAAATGTCAGTCTCTAAATGCTTCGGTCATTTCTCCTGAGTCGCCAATTTTGCAAGACAGAATGATATTTTCCCAGAAGCCACAAACTTCTGACATACATCTCTGGTTTGATGGCGTCATGAAGTGTTTTATATTCCAAGACAGGCAAAGGTTACAAACTCATAAAAAGTCAATTTGTATTAAGTTGAACAGAAAAAGGAAAAAAAGCCAAATAGTTTCATTTAAAATATTTAAATAATTATTTTAATAGCCATTTAAATAACTGCTGTCACTTATTTTAGTTTTACTGAAGAAATTATATAAAAATAAAATGAAGACTTAGAGGCTAGCATAATTTGATGTTACTGCACCAGCCTAATGGTCAGCAAAAACTGATACAATTATACAATACACTTATGTCCACCTTCATTTCACATGCAGTATAGAATGAGGGAACATGCCTTAGATTTTTGAAATTGTATCTGCATTGCAGATGGAAAGAAACTTGAACTTCAGGGGAAAAAAAAAAAAAAAAAAAAGAAGAGTCCACCAGTTAAAATAATAACATTTTAAAAAACTAGGTACAATATTCTCACTTGGTGGTGTAAATGGTGAGTATATTGAAACACAGTTTGCATTTAAACTTAGAACTTTAACAAAAGGTGTATTACAGATCAGGAAAAAAACCAACAACTTCTGTCTTCAAAGATTTCTAAGCAGAAGGTTCAATGATCTCAAACTTTTTTCCCTCCTCCTCTTTCTTTTCTTTTTTTCTTGCCCAGAATTGAAGAGTAAAAAGAGAAAGTGAATTATCTGAAAACTTCCTCCGACTAGTACCCACAGGAAAAGCTACAGCTATAGATGTAGAATGCAGGACAAATAACAGCAGATTTGCTGAGTGAAATCGGCATCCATTTCATATGGATTTCAAGTGTTTACTTCAGACCAGCTTTAAGCCCGTCCTAGGGACTCCGCAGCTGTTAGATCATATTTGATGTGCTCTTTGGGCCTATCTTCCTGCTCAGTTTAACCCAAAAGGAAACCAGCTGCCTGCTCTGGGACAGCTATGCAACACAAACCAAAGCGGAGTAAGTGGGGGTGATCAGAAGATTCAGTTCCTAAGGGTGTTTTTAATCCAAACTAAAATTTTAATGTACACATGCTACAGTGCATTGCAACAAACTCTGGTTCGTTCCAGTTGTTTATGTGATGACCTGTTCTAGTTCAGCAGCATACTAGTCTTGCATACTTTTTAAAGTTAGTCTATTAAAACTTCCAATTCCAAATACTATCCTGAATATTCAGTGTTCTCAAGTACTTTTTACACTGTTCTCCACATACTTCTCCATTTGCCTCCACTGACCAAGAAGATACAAAATACAAATCAAATTTTATGCACTTTTTAGACAGTTTAAAGTACTAGAGACAATGGGCATTAAGCTTGATTTTCTAAAACTTTTCCATTTGAAGGAATAAAACAATCAACTCAATTTTATATCTTCCAGTTTAAACTCGCTGATAAGCACTGTACAGTGTCCATTCCAGATTCTACTCCTGGGGCCAAAACTTTGTTATTACATCATCTCATTTGTAGTAAGCAAGTCCTCTCTTCGACCACGTAAGGAAAAAAAATCAGTTGGTTTAATTCCTAAAGTGAAGGAAGCCAAAATGCATGTTGAAGACAATTCTCTTCAGAAAAATGGTAAAACCACTGAACGTCAGTCACACCTACTTCATTCTTTTGACTAAAATATAGCAAGTCTTATGATGCTACCAACTTTATCCATCTGCAATGACTATACTAGTACCTCTGACTGTCAAAGACACCGACATAACCTCCTGGACAAGAGAAAGCCGTGTTTTATTTTGTTTCCTTAGTACCAGAAGATTTTATAAGTGACATTTCAGTGTGTGACAGGTGTTCATTTTAGTACAGGAGATTATGGAATTAAACAAAAAACATCCCAACCATCCCTTGCAATAAATGCATTAGAAGAGCTAATCCTTCTTCTAAGAAGCCTGTACAGGGAACTCATTTTAAGAAAAAGTACTTGTGTGGAAAGTGCATGATCTGACTTTCAGAAGTATTATGTACCTGTATCTGTCAGAAGTTTTAGCAGCAAGTAGAGAACCATGATGCCCACAAAGGAGAAAGGTATGATGGTAGCAGAGAAGAAACTAGTCACCCAGCCTCTGTGTTTGGTCTCACGGATACTTGTAAGAGTTTTGCAAGACTGATTTCAGAAGGTGATTTCATATATGCTTATCAAGATGCTGTTTAAGTACATTAACTACCAAATCCAGGAATAATTTCATGTTTTACTTAGGCAAATTTTAAAAGTGCTGTATTTTAATTCAATTCAAGGACCAGGTGTAAACACAGTGTTTCATGTGAGATGGAAGAATAGTTCAGCTATAAACATTTCCTCATATCTCTAAGTTGTTTTCAGCTATATCCTGTTTAACATGAAAATTAACTGTTGTTTACCAGATTTTCTTTTTATTTAAAAGAAAATTTATGCATGTTGTTGAACCAAAGCTTATCACTTAAAAGAAACTTAGTAAGCTTCCAATTATATACGATTTCTTTGCCCTGAGGACAATGGCCAAAACCAAAGGTGGCTTAAACTATACTGTGTTTTTCTGCCCCAGTATCTTTTTATAGCTGTCCAGCAAAGTCTGATCAAGATACAGAACTTCATGGATTATATATGAGCAGACACTTTATCGCCCAAACTGCATAGTCATTGATTACCATTCAGTCAGCTGATAGTTTTTGAGCTAGTAGAAGAGCTGGGTGGGGAGGGAGGTTTAGTGTAACTACTTTGTAATCCAGGAAAAAAAGTACTATATCCAGGTAGGGTTTTCACCATTAGTTTTTTAGCAGTGGTCTTTTCCTGGCTTACCCAAAATTACTGTCTTAACCATTCAGTTTGACAGTAATTACAAGTGATCAGAACTTGACTCTTGCAGCTTTTCAGTGTAGTCTTTAAGTAAACAAATATCAGCAAGCACTTGAAACTAACAATTTGCAGCAAGCTATTACTTACACATGTCTAGCGCAGTATCAAATTGCTCTATTGACCCCAGCAATTTTGAAAAAGCTAATAACACAGCTTTTCAATCATACTCAGTAAGAGCTGAAAATAAGCTCTTTTCATCTGCCATTAACATGCTGTGGTTTTCCTGCAATTCTGTTTCTGCTTGAAATATAGAAGAAGAAAACCCCAACAATATTAAGACTCAACATTCATTCACCCCAATATGAAACCATCATGAACTTTTAAGAGAAACGAGTCAGTACTTAACTGAAGGAAGATAAAGGAACAGAAGAGTTACCAAGTGTTGTACCATCAATGGCATTTAGCATCTATGTTCTCCTCATTTCACTGTTTCCACTTCAATTTTTCACACCATAAAAGTAAGAAATGCAACCGTATAGCCACAAGACATAAGAAGGAAGTGTAGAGGAAGGTGTAAGGCCCACAGCCCTTACTTTCTTCAAGGATGAGTTGGATCAATTTGCAAACAAGATTATACCCTAAAGCTGCTAGTGATACCAGGACATCCCATTCAGCCCTACCATCTCATCTGTTTAAAACTGAAAGCCAAATCCAATCGTTGTAAAACTTGCCACGCTAATTTGCAGAGAGCAACGTGGGACTACTGACTGTTTGCATGTTTTATAATAAGCCTAGTAATAAAACATCTGCAGTGCTTGAGTTTTGCTGTGTTGCTGGTTCTGAACGGTAGTGTCTATTGCTCCAATTAGATTAGACGTACTGCGTTTGGTATCTTACCTAGCTCAGTAAGCAGCATTAAGGAGAAACGCAACAAAATTCAAGCTACTCGCATCATAAGCCATTCCCTTTTCTACGCACGGCTGTTCACAGCCCAAACTCCACTTCGCTTTCTGCTTTTAAAACACCAAAGCAACTAGCAGATCAGGCACCCTTTTTATAAGGGCAGGGTAAACAGGGTGAGCTGTGCGCTGCGGTATCATTTACCTACATCAGTTTCCTCAAACCCTGCAAGAAGTTTGCAGTCGCAAAGCAACAAGGAGGGGAACCCCCCCCCCCCCCAAACTCGGAGGAGGTACCGAGCCGCAGGGCCGCGGAGGGACCCTAACAGGCAGACTCCCGCGCAGCGCTAACCAGAAGCCGCCGGGCGCTCCCCCCGAGCCGGGCATTACCTAGCCTTCCCCGTCAGCCGAGGCGCCCGCCCTTCACACCGTGCCCGCCCGCGGCGGT